AAAAAAAAAAAAAAAAAAAAAAAAAAAAAAAAAAAATATACCGACGAATTGAATACCTCCTTCTTTTGGGAAGTCGGTCAAAAAGAAAGTAGCCTATTTGTTCTTAAAGACTATCCTCTACATCTATGCCAAATTTTATCAAGATCTGTTCAGTCTTTTAGGCTACAAACTCTAACAAACATCCATCCAAACTTTCACATTTATAGTATTAGTAAGAAGTAAGATCGGATCGTCTGTCCGATAACGAAAATCGCATTAAAAATATGTCTGTCTGTCTGTCCGCAACCCGCATTTGTTTCGGGTAATCTCCGATCGCTGGGCCAATTTCGACGGGACTTTCACTGATGGGTAGCTGACATAGACGGGCATATTATAGGCTACTTTTTTAAAATTCCGCACCGTCAAAATGGCCTAAGGGTGGTCCTGTGGTCCTAACGAAGTTTGCGGGCGACAGTTCTTAAATAAGTAAAAGTAATGGCAAACTTACCTGACCCAGTATAAGTGACACTCTTTGAGCTTACAACCTTGATTACAAAACAATCCTCAATCGCACAACGGTTGTGCGATTGTCGATTGTTTCGTGATTCAACTGTTTAGTTGCACAACTAACAATCTAGTAGTGTACCTCCATATAAGCTCAGAGTATCGAGACGAAACAGTTGTGCGATAGTTTAGTCAATGGTCTTATTCTAGATCCAAGCGCACGGTCTAACTGGACCTATAGAGTTCTCCAACGGGATCCGGACCAAATTCAAGCTGCAGTTAATGCGGCTGGCGGGGGGCGAGGGAGGCGGGGCGGTGCTCGCTGGGACCTGGGACCCTGATCTTGGTCTGCAGCTATCAGACCCGGCAGCGTACAGACGTGACCCTCCACCTAATGTCACCCTTACTGTGGTTACTGTCGAGGTATGTATATGTAATATAAGTGGTTGAGTCAAGGAGTAAAAGGTAATCTTGGTATGGGCATGTTATGAGGAGGGATGAATGTAACAAGAAGGTGAACGTTAGTTATGAGTGTGTACACCGGTAGAGGTAGACGTGGAAAGAGATAGATTGTGTAAATGGTGACGTCAAGAAGAAAGTGACTGAGATGACGGATGACAGAGTTAGTTGGAGGATCCTACAGTAGTCTAGAATAGAGGAAATGGTGATGATATGATATTCTGCTAATCTGTTGGATCTGATTGTTGGGACAAAGCGGATGATAGGAGCTCATGTGGCTGATATGTGTGTGACAAGAAGGAATAAAGTTAAGGATAAAAGAGGAAGTTTGAAAGTAGCAGTGGTCTAGAAATTGAGAAGCAAAAAGATAGCGTGCATAACATGTGCATACCACGATAATCTGTTGCTCCTCATCCTCTCGTCGTATGTGACGATGGGGACATAAACAAAAAAGTATGTATGGATTGTTTGAAAGAGGATATGCTCATCCATACTTTCTTTGGTCTTCTATCTTTGTAACCATCCATATTCTATCTTAATACTTTCTTGTTATGTGATCACTAGCTTTCGTCCAAATTAACAAATGCAAGTAGCCTATGTGTTCTTCCAGACTATCCTCTACCAAACTTTATTGAAATCCGTTCAGCTGTTTAGGCTATAAACACAAACAAACATCCATCCATCCATCTAAACATTCGCTTCTATAATATTAGTATGTTTATCTCTTCGCATAAATCTTATGCTTCACAATTTCTTCATCACTGGCTATCAAACTTCTTCTAATATGCGCATTTTTACACTCCTCTCAGCGACATGCTATTCTTCCATCAAAAACTGGTGGTTCCATACAATTTCCAGAGCTAATTTCTATTTTCTATTAAACAAATTCTCTCCCATCGAGCACTCTAAATAAAAATGCTCGATCTTATTTTTACATAATATACGAGTACCTTCAACGGTGCTAATTGGTCTTCTAATTCCAGGAGAAACCGTACGTGATGGTAAAAGAAGGTTGGAACCTTCAAGGCAACGCGAGATTCGAGGGTTTCTGTATAGATCTTCTAGCACGAGTGGCTGCTAGAGCTGGCTTCCATTATACGTTACGATTAGTCCCTGACAATATGTACGGAGCATGGGATCCTGACACTGGACAGTGGAATGGAATAGTCAGAGAGCTAATGGACAGGGTAATTTAGTCTTATTAATATTATTGGTAAACTAGCTGTTCACGTGCGGCTTCATCCGCATGAAATTATGAAAAAATTATTTTCTTGTTTACATTTGTCAAATTCTTTATTGCGAATGTCAAAATACCAATTACCTTACTATGACAATCTTGTTTCTTGATGTTGGTAGCAACTTATGGTCTCTTTCCCACATTAGGGTTTTTATCTAAAATATTTAGCCCCTAAGTTTAATAGCGTGAAAATATATAGCCTAAATCGTGACGTAAGTGTAGGTAATTTTATGAAAAAAAGAATTAATCAAAAATATGGTGTAATTGCTGACATCTTAGGTAACAAAGAAGTGTGTGTTTACGCTTGTAGTGTACTTATCTATTTATTTAATTATCTATCTATTTATATAT